AAAAAAAAAAAAAAAAAAAAAAGAATCCAACTCAATAAATAAATAAAATAAAATACTAAATAATGACATCAGATTTTAGTTACATTAGCTTCACTACAAATGGTGTCTTTTTATTTTAGTTATTATATATCAAAACAAAAAATCTTTTGTTTTTGAGATTATGCCTGCAAAAATATTAGCTGACATCCACATATTAGTAAAAATTTCAATTTTGTTTAACTTAGTTTTTTTAAGGAAGCTAAACATTAAAAAACTGATCTTTCTAATTCTGAACTTAACTGATTTTTACAAAAGAATTATAAAATGTAACCAAATAAATGGATGGGTGTGCAACATCAGAAATGTAAACTTCTATTAAGAAATTTTTTACAAAGTTTGTAGACTGTAACCTTGCATTGTGAAGTACATTGTCCTCTAAACCTGGTTTATCAGAAATATTTTTGCTTATCATTTGTTCTTTTTTTTTTTTTTTAAGTGGAAAATAAATGAAGCTCTTAAAGAGATGGAAGAGAAAAAGATTGAAATCTCCAAGCTCCAGGAACAAGAAAAGGCACTCTATGCTGGTTTTCAAGCAGCCATTGGAGAAAACAATAAATTTGCTAACTTCCTCGTGAAGGTCCTAAAGAAGAAAATTAAGAGGGTAAAGAAAAAGGAAGTTGAAGGAGATGCTGGTTTGTACCCCTTTCCTACACATGATCCCATTTTCTCTCATGAACATGAAATAGAGAAGTAACTAAGGGACCTAATAGATATCTTATTCTTTTCATTGCAACACAATGTTGAGCCACTGTGGGGGTTAAAAAAGAGAGGATATAAACCTTTAGGTCTTTAAACATCTGGAATTAATGTGTGTGTGTGTGTGTGTGTGTGTGTGTGTGTGTGTGTGTGTGTGTGTGTGTGTTTGTATCTGGTATGAGTTAGCCCAAGGTAGTTGAATCCTTTACATGTTTGTTTCCTGTGTGTCTTCTTTGGTGAAATGTCTCTTGTGTTTTGCCCATGTTTGAATAGGATTGTTTGCTTTTCTGCTGTTGAGCTTTGTGCGTTCTTTATATGTTCTAGATACTAGCCCTGTGTTGGATATATACTTTGCAAATATTTTTCCTTAGTGTGGAACTTGTCTTTTTATTTGCTATAATACCATTTGTTGAAAAGAGTGTCTCTCTGCCATTGAATTGCTTTTGATCTTTGTCAAAATCACTTGTGTGGATCTTTTTCTAGGTTCCCTATTCTGTTCCATTGATCTATATGTCTATCCCTCAACCCATACTACAGTCTTGATTACTGTAGCAATGTTTTGAGTCCTGAAATCAAGTAGACTAATTCCTCCCAGTTTATTCTTTTTCAAACTTGTTTTAGCAATTCTAGTTCCTTTATCTTTCCATATTTTAGAATAATCTTATTTACATCTACCAAAAATCATGTTAGAGATTTGATAGCAATTGTGTTAAACCTGTGTATCAGTTTGGAGAGAACTGGCATCTTTACTACATTGACTCAGATTTGGTCAAAGGAGAGAGTCTTTGCCAACATAACATTCCCAGCAAGCTTTGGTACCCGATCCCCAAATCAAACAAACACCTTTGTACTTTTGCAGCAAAATATGAATATTCTCACTGAGAAGGTTAAATAAAAACAATAAAGAGCATCACTTCAGTTCAGATAACTTATGAAAGTCTTTTCTGTTTTTAGAACATTCTTTAATTTAAGAATTGTGGGCCTGTCCCACCAAGTGTGTGTTAGGTGGGTTGCAACACAAGCAGCTTAGAAACTTAGTTTCAACTCGCCTGGCTTGACGCATTGGTAGTAACTGTACAACCTTCTGTAGGCATTTGAGTGTGTGTTCTCTGTGTCCTTAACGATTTTAAATTCTTCTAAAAATACCGAGTAATTTCCTGATTTACCTCTTGATTATTTTTCTAGTGACCGACTCATTGAAAAATAGTTTACTTTAAAAATGGGGTATTTAGTTTAATATAGGAACTTCTCTCCTAACAGTGTCCTTCTCTTTCCTTAGATGAAGATGAGGAAAGTGAGGAATCAAGTGAGGAAGAATCCAGCTTGGAGAGTGATGAGGATGAGTCTGGATCTGAAGATGAGGTTTTTGATGATTCCATCTGCCCAACAAGTAAGTTGTATAAAACCATGTGTCCTCAATGCTGAGAAGGCCCTTTTGTTGTTTCTCAATTCTCTGATAATAAAACTTAAGGAAAGCGTCGTTTAAAATATATGATATGACTGGGTACGGTGGCTCAGCCTGTAATCCCAGCACTTTGGGATGCTAAGGCGAGAGGATTGCCTGAGCCTGCAAGTTTGAGACCAGCCTGGGCAACTTGGTGAGACATCATCCCTATAATACAACCCAAAAACTAGCCAGGCATGATGGCGTGCATCTCTAGTTCCAGCTACTTGAAAGGTTGAGGTGGAAGGATCACCTGAGCCCAGCAGGTCGAGGCTGCGGTGGCTGTGAGCATGCCATTGCATTCCTCCAGCCTGGGCAACAAGAGTGAGACTCCAACTCAAAAATTAAAAAAATAAAATAAAATGTATGGCATATTTTTCTCTTAAGTATAAGGATATTCAATCATTCATTCAACAACATTGAACTTCTAGTATATGCCAGGATCTTGTCTGATGCTAGGGATACATCAAAGTATAAAACAAACTCTCTTACCCTCATGGAGCTTAAATTCTAGTGTAGAAAGACAATAGATACAACGAGTAAGTTAAATGGAATTTGGGAAGGTGGTACATGCTATGGGAAAAGAAATGTAAAAGGAAGCCAGGCTCCGTGGCTCAGCCTGTAATCCTGCGCTTTGGGAGGCCGAGGTGAGTGAATTGCCTGAGCCTGCGGGTTCGAGACCCACCTGGGCAACTTGGCGAGACCTTATCTCTACAATAAAAATAAAAAAAAAAAAAAATTAGCCTGGCGTGGTAGCGCGTGCCTGTAGTTCTGGCTACCCGGAAGGCTGAGGCGGAAGGATCACCGGAGCCCAGCAGGTAGAGGCTGCGGTGGCCGGGAGCAGCCACTGCACTCCAGTCTGGGCGACAGAGTGAGACTCCAACTCAAAAAAAAACCAAAACAAAATATAAAAGGGGTTCAGGAGTGGGGGCAGGGAGGAGCGGTTGCTATTTTAAATAGCATGGTCAGGAAAAATGTTAATAATACTTTTGGGGGCTCTCTTGATGATTTATTATCTGTTCTCTTAGGCAGCTGTTTATGAGTGACAAGTTAAATGATCTGCAGACAACAGATGATTCAGAGTTATTATAAAATGCAGCAAGTTTCAGTTTATACAGTAACACTAGATTATGATTTTTATATATTTTTACAATACTCTCTTTTTTTGACAAACCCATTCAAATGTTTGTATTTCAAATCTGTTTTGTAAGGACACTTTGTACCAGTTTTCTGAAATGGATGGCAATTTACATTTATTGCTTTCACTGGTGAAACCAGTCTGGAGCAGACAGACCCATATTCTTATAGTCTCAATAGATGAATGGTTCAGTAGAGAAAAACTCATTTGTTCTGAACTGTAACCTGTTTTTCTAGACATTTCAAATAAAATTTAATTAAATTTTAGAAGTTTAATTTCAAATAAAGTTTACATCTTATTTTACTTTTGAAAACAAGAGTCTTTCTGGAATCTTAATATTTATGAGTGGAATAGAACACAAAAACCTTGTAAAGCAACTTCTTATTTTACAGCAGGTTTAAATGACTTGAACAATGACTCACAACTAGTAAAGTGGCAGAACTAGGGCTAGAACTAAGGTTTATAAATCCCATTTTAGTATTCTAGTTTTATATTTGCTACCTATTGCATGGTGGATAAATTTGGCTCTTAGTGTGCTGTAGTGGAAATAACAGAGAGATAATATACTTGTTTCCTATTCTGTCATGTACTAATTGTATCACCTCTCTAAGACTTGGAGACTTCATCTATAAAATGGAATGATGTACATCAAGGAGTTTCCACAAAGCCTGGCTCAGAATATTTCTCAGAGAGAACATCAATACTAGTCTCATTATTATTGTCATGATTATTAAAATTATTCATAGTTCCACCTGGAGCAATGGAATCGTAAGTGTAGTAAAAGCTTGCTAGAGTGGAACTGCCAAGTAGACTTTATTGATTCTGAAGCTCCAAAGTTCATACTCCTGGAACTATGACACCCCATAAAAAAATGAGACTGCTTTTTATATTTCTCTTTTCAGATTGTGATACAGCTCTTTTTGAACTGGCCCTTCAACTCCGAGAGAAAAGGTTGGACATTGAGGAAGCCTTAGTTGAAGAAAAGAAGATTGTGGATAACCTCAAAAAGGAATATGATACATTGTCCAAAAAAGTACGGTGGCCTGCTTACTTATTTATCCTGTCTCAAAATGCTACATATCCTCTCAGCTATAATATTGCCATCTTATAGCAATGGCAATGTTAGGACTTCTCCTCAGTAAAGAAACATTTCAAATGTTATGGCCAGGTTCTTTCTCCTTAAGCACAGTTGTGGTGAAGGCCATTGCTCTTTTGGCAGTTAGACTTTATCTTAAACATTGGTTTCCAAACTCTTTTTTTTAATTTAATTTATTTTTTTTTTCTTGAGTTGGAGTCTCACTCTGTCGCCCAGACTGGAGTGCAGTGGCCGCTCCCGGCCACCGCAGCCTCGACCTGCTGGGCTCCGGTGATCCTTCCGTTTCAGCTTTCCAAGTAGCTGAAACAACAGGCGTGCACTACCAAGCCCAGCTAATTTTTTATATATTGTAGAGATGAGGTCTCACCAAGTTGCCCAGGCGGGTCTCGAACCCATGGGCTCAGGCAATTCACTCACTTCAGCCTCCCAAGGCGCGGGATTACAGGCTGAGCTACTGAGCCCGGCTATCCAAACTCTTTTGACGACATTATTCCTCTCCCCCTATAATAAATATGTATGTATTTATAAATTATATTCATGAACTAAATTATAGTATACATTATGAAATATTCACAAACACAGAAATTAAAAAGAATGAGATAAAAATAAATAGGAGTAGAAACTCTGATATTTTCATCCTGCACCTCAGTAGATCATTTTAATGATCCTCTGAGGACATGCATCCCATCTTGGAGTCTACAAAGCCGAACTTCCAGTATAATATTGACCTATTTATATCTAATCTACTCACTTTTTCTTTTAGGTACTTTTATCTAAAGTAATATCACTTAACTTGATTCACATTCAGAAATATTTTTGATAGATTATTTCTCCTCTTACAAATATCAAATGATTCGGAAAACTTTCAGGTTTTCTAGGACATGAAGAACATGTAGTTTCATTGCTTTAAAGGACTTGTTTATTTAATTTCTTGAGGTCATTATTTCCAAATAAGAGTCCTACCATTCTGACAAACACATTTCATGCTGAGGGATGCATTTCATGGGGAAAGTAAAAGGGAGATGAGGACATGTCTTCTAGGCTTTTATTCACAAAACTTTCAACTCTGGGGACATAGAAATGACTAAAAAGGTGCTGTGGATCATAATTTAGCAGAAAGAAAATTATTTACATTCCTGGCTTCCAAACTGGGTTCGTGCACTTAATCACAGCTCAGCAAAGCAGATTCTCCTCCTGCTTTACTTTCTCCAATATGGTTTTATTTGCCACCTTAGGCATGTGTTCACTGAATCTCGTTACCATTTCACATATGGGGCTTTCTACAGGTGAAAATTGTGGCAACCAATCTGAATGTAGCCGAGGAAGCCCTGGAGGCCTATCAGCGAGAGAAGCAGCAGCAGCTGAATGAACTTCTGGTTGTGATTCCACTCAAGCTTCACCAGGTGATGCATGTGGGGAGGTTGCCCCACCCTGTCTGAACAGAAGAGCCATCACACCAAGGCTTTTCAGAGAAAGATTCGTGGGTCACTAGCTAGTGCGGAGAATTATGGTTCTTTGATGAGAACTCTCCTTGTAGAACAACACACAAGCTTGTCTTATCTATCCATTGTCAGATTCTTATAAAAGAGTGACATCAAAACAAGTGTATTTCCCTATGGCCCATTATCACTTTGAAAGTCCAGTCTTTTCAGGCCTGGAGAAATGAGGAGCCTACGACTTAAGAATAGAATGGCCTGGCTGGGTGCAGTGGCTCAAGCCTGTAATCCCAGCACTTCGGGAGGCCAAGGTGAGAGGATTGCCTGAGCTCAGAGATTCGAGACCAGCCTGGACAACTTGGTGAGACCTCATCCCTACAATAAATCAAAAAATAAGCTGGGCATGGTAGCATGCGCCTATGGTTCCAGCTACTTGGAAGGCCGAGGCGGAAGGATTGCCTGAGCCCAGCAGGTCAAGGCTGCGGCGGCTGTGAGCGTGCCACTGCTTTTCAGCCTGGGCAACAGAGTGAGACTCCAACTCAAAAAA